ACAAAAAAAACCTTGTGGCCTCGACCGCTGGGGAAAGTTGGGTTAAACACCTACTGGGTACTGTGTTTATACTTACTTCACCCTTAGCAAATCAGAATGCTTTTCCCCGTTCTATGCAACCAATTTGATCATTATAATTAGCGGTCTTCTTGTTCGCATGGCACCTGCCTCATCGTGATTTAAGAGTGACGGCGTTCGAGACGAGGTGATAGTAATCAATACGCACCGAGGGCATCTCAAAATTGCTAAAGCCTTGTCAAAGTACATTTTGTTGGGGAAATCGTTGAGCTGATAATCCTTCTGACAGATAGACGTCAGGAACGGTTAGCAGGGTGAGGATTAGGCAAGACACAAAGTGACTGAAAAAGCTGCATAGTTGCTACAGAACCTTACAGCTTATACCGATTATTCAGATCATGCACAGGAAGAAGTACGTGAGTATGCACGTGAGAACTGGAGTAACGAACTGGTGAAGATGCTACGCACGGAGCGAAATGAGGGACTGATACGAGCCAGGATATTCGGTGCACAGCATGCTACCGGTGAAGTACTGGTTTTCCTAGACAGTCACTGCGAAGTAAACGAACGTTGGCTGGAACCACTGCTTGATCGCATAGCAGCCGATAGGCATACGTTAGTACTTCTTGTACCAAATTTTCGATAATTTATAGGACTAGTATAACTGGAACTAGCGAAAGTCTGTTTTTTTCTAGTGGCACTCAAATTTGAGGTATCAACAATTGGAGAATTTCAAATACCAAGCAAATTACACATCCTCCTTTCATGTAAAGTTCATGTGGTTAGCATATTTAGTAAGCTAACTTTGAGGGAATGAGAAAGTCAAGGTCGCTAGTAGACTGACTACCAGGCGATGCAATATTCGTCAACTGAGACAGTTCCCAGATGCACAGTTTGAGAGACATACTGTGATCAGTACGACCGTTTAAGTGTTCCAAGTAGTTTGGACCATAAAAACATTCTGTCAGCCTGACCAGTGGTTGGTATTGATTACTTTCCTTGTTTCCCAACTCTCGCTTGAACGCTTTTTATATGCAAATTTAGAGTGGTTTGTCCGATCATTGATATCATCGATGCGGATACACTGAAGTACATCGAGTCGCCGGTCTGCAAAGGTGGTATGTCCTGGTCGCTAACATTCAAATGGGATTATTTCCCGGCTTCCTACTTCCACGAGCCGAAGCAGTACATACGGCCACTGCAATCGGCCACAATGGCTGGTGGATTATTCGCCATCGATAGGAAGTATTTCCAGGAACTGGGGCAGTACGACCGGGGAATGGAAATCTGGGGGGCCGAAAATGTCGAAATTTCTTTGAGAGTAATACATCTTAATGATTTCTTTTAATTCCAAATTAAAAATGGATTTCACGAAGTCCACATTATACACATAGTTCACTTGTTGGATCAGTGCTGCCGTGCAGCAGGTCGCCACCCGTAAATGTAATAACCGATCTCTACACGATTCGCTCATTCGTTTCGATGTAAATTGGTAGTGGCATATATAGGTAATCGCTATTAGCTTGTTTTTAAGCAACTGTGCGAAGCCAGAGTCACCGACAGTTTTTTGCAGTGAGTAGTGTGTGGCACCACCTCAGCTACTTCCGAGTATTTCCATTTCCCACAGAGAGCGGATATGGAGAGGTTTTGGTTTTAAGCTTTCTGGCATCTCGCTGCACTTTCAGGAGATTTTACTGTTAGTTCCGTTCATACAGTTAACGTTTGTCCAATGCTACCTGCGCCACCCAGTTAAGCGGTCGTTGAGCATTCGCTGAATTACATAATTTTCTGTTTCTTCCAATTTAATGGCTTGCCCAGGATTAAATTTATCATTCTTCAATGAATCGTGGCAGTTCAAATTTCGGCTCCGGATGAATTTTATTTATCTAGTTCCTTGGATTTTAGAATAGTTAGGGCATGGTGTTGTCTACATGTTGAGTTGCAGATTTGGATGTGTGGTGGCCGTCTGGAAATAATTCCGTGCAGTCGAGTCGGCCATATATTCCGTCAGCGTCGACCTTACGGGGCAGGAATTGATTCGATGGGTCGTAATGCTGCTCGTGCGGCCAATATCTGGCTCGACGAGTTCCTCGTAAGTACTGTTAAGCATTAACACAGATCAAAAAGACAACTCTGTTGTCAGTTTAAGATGGATCCGGCTAGCGATACAACCTTCCGGTATTTCACAAGAGAACAAACGTCGAAAACAACCCTAATTTTTTGTATGGCAGAATTGGAGTAATGCCCTGGTAATACCCATACTACACCATTATGTAATCTTATTTTGATGCATCAACCTGATAAAACAACTTCTTCCCTCTTTATTTTGCACGATTCTCATCCACATAATTTCAGCGGATTCTTTTATCGCATTAATGGCCTTCCTCGGTTTTTCTTAACGCTGTGTGGGTACCGTTTAATAGTCCGCCTTATTCATCTTCATATTATTTTGGGTAATACGTTAGTAATTGCTCTCAACATAAGGGTGCCAATGACAATCACATGCAGTAGTATCGAGGAAAGTCAGCGAAAACCCAGTAAAAAGTGAACCCCATATTTTCGGCTCCTTTCAGGCATGAACAGTTCCTCGGTTTCAGGACACTTTTTACGCGACGAGGCCACAATTGCGTGGTATTGACATAGGCGATATATCAGAAATGAAACAATTACGTAAAAAACTGCACTGTAAATCCTTTCTGTGGTACCTTCAAAATATCTATCCAGAATTATTGCCAAACAATCATCCAACAATGGCGGATCTCAAAAAATCCGATTTGCTACGGAACAAAAATGTTACCAAATATCGCGTAAGTTCTTTGAC